TTTCATCCCTTGGTTCGTGACAGAATGGTGTAGTACTTCTTCAGAGAGGAAACTTAAATCTGTCCCCCATTGCTTTAAGTATTCACCATACCAGTGGGGAAGAGGTTGTTTCATGCCAAAGCACTCAATCTGAAAAGGTCAGACAAGAAATGGAAGAAAAAAGTGTGGCTCTTTTTACAGTTGGAAGCCATGGCACTGACTGATTAAGGGTTTTTCTCATGACTATCCAGATTTCTTGTAGTCAAGTTAGATTTTTTTTTTTTTTTTTTTTTTTCCTATAAAAGCACATTTCTTTTTCATCCCTTCCATAAAGCTTGGAAGAATTTTAGGAAAGTGCAGTGCACATAGGTTACAGGTGACTAGCACAGAGCTGGGCTGAGCAGCAGCTTCTGAATTGCTTGTGTGGAAGCTTTGAGCTTTCTTGACAACCAAAATACTAGGCATTATGTGTGCTTTATGCAGAGAAATATTATAGAACACCCATCTGAAATATATACCTTGAATTCAGCATCACAGCATGCGTTTCAAATCACCAGAACCATAAGCATCTGTGTGAAACTGATTTAATTTGCTTAAAGTACCTTTCCTGTCGAATGCCTGCAGCCATGAAATCTTGCCTTGGTGAAGAAGCTTTATTATTATGTTGGATTGTGTCAACACCAGAAACTATTAGGCTTTCATTTGAAATGATTTCTTTTATGTCCAGAAAATGCTTAGACTGAAGAAGTGGTTTTCCAATGCTTATGACTGATAAATCTGCAAATAGAAAAAGAGCAAAAGCTGTTATTAGCAACCTAGAGCCAGCAGGGTAGCAAAACTGGTGATTTCGCCAAACAAGTTCCTCAGGCATGTCATGAATTAATTGTCTAAGGTAGAACAAAGCAGGTTTAATTATGAGTACTTTTCTGAGCAGGGGTGTTAGAATTAGTTATTTTTGAAAGCTATCTTTATGGGGGAATTTAAATACTATGTATATCAAGTTCCCAGCTGCTAATCAAAGTATTAATGTATTGTTCACTGAGTCAGTTCTTAATATGTGGTTTGAAGATTAAAATGCATAGTTTTTCTGAGGTATGTATCAAGTATATAGAAAAAGGTGATCTCTTGTACTAATTTTTACAAAGATGGTTTCCTTTTGCAGAGCTAAGATATGCAGGTAATTTAATTAGATATCCTATTAAATAACAGACAAGCAAACATATTTAGTGATTGGCAGTGAAAATGTTTAAATTGTTAGTGGCAGTTTACATAAGAGCCCAACAGCAAAAATTAAAAGCACGTGCACATTGTGACCTTCACAATCTCTTCTTTTTTCTTACTGAGAGATGTCTGTTGCTTCAAAAACTGTTAAAAACAAGTCTCAGACCTAAACCCTAACCCCGTAATGATGCTGGACACACTGCTTTTGTATGGATATGTACCTACATACATTTCACAAGAGTTTTTTGGAAGATAAGGACCCAAACAGTATGTCGGAGTTCTTAATCTTTAAAGCAAGAAAATTGTGAATCACTATGTGGGACTTTATTATCATTTATTGCTCTATATCATTCTTCTTCATTTCCTAGCACCAAATGGCCTTTTTTTCTGCCTCTCTGTCCCTGTTTCTACACATTTGTGCTGCTCTACACTCTGATCTTGCTGACTCTCTGGTTGAGACTTGTCACTTCTATGGAGGCACTTGCTGCTAAGTAGCTGCCTCCTTCAGTCTGTTTGGGTTGGAGAGCATTTTGTGTCCCCTCCTCAATTTAACTTCATTTCAGTTCTCCTGCAGTTCTACAGCTGTCAGGTTTCTGTATGGTTTTCCATTTCTTATTCCAGGCAGCTGTTATATTTTGTGGGGGTGCTTTTAATATTTGTATTTTATTTTTATTTTTGCTCCTACAAAATAGCTCGATTTTCTACTTTGCTAATTAACTATGGACTTTTATAAATCTCTGAAGAAATAGCTATGCATGGTGATTTCTCCATAGAGAAACTGAAGGCTATAAATATGCAAATATCACTTTTGGCTTTACAAAGTTTAATTGCTTTGCATATTATTCAGACTTCTAGGCTGAAAAATCGATCAAGAAAAAGAAACACACTTATATATATTTCACTATCTTAAAAATGCAGGCAGATTGCTGAAAAGTGTGCCAGTTTTTTGAGTCTGCAGGTTTACATCTTGATGTTATTGCAGGGTGTGTAGGGTGCTTGCATAACTGAGGATCTTCACTGAATGCAAACATTGTGTTTCTGAACTGTACGTTTTGCAGAGCCTGTGTAAAGCAGTTGGAGCAGCTGCTGCTGCCATCCTTCTGCATACTGAGGTCACAGGAAAAAAGATGGAGTGGACTTCAGGAGACCATCTAGTATCTTGCTGCCCTAAAGCAGGATCAGCTAGTTCTGAATGTCCAATAACAGGACAAGGGGCAGTGGGTACAAGTTGGAACATAGGAGGTTCCATAAAAATATTAGAAAAATCTTTGTCACGGTGAGGGTGACAGAGCACTGGAACAGGCTGCCCAGGGGGGGTGTGGAGTCCTCTTCTTTGGAGACATTCAAAACCCACCTGGACGTGTTCCTGTGTGATCTATTGTAGGTGATCCTGCTCTGGCAGGGGGGCTGGACTAGATGATCTTTGAGGTCCCTTCCAACCCCTAACATTCTGTGGTTCTGTGATTTCCAAATAGTCATAGGTTTTTGAGCTTGAGGCAAGACATCAAGAAGTTCTCCTGTTGTGTTTGATATTTGAAATAATTTTTCTTTCACTGATTAAAGTATAAAACAGAGGTGTAATTCAGGATATCTCACCATGACACCTAAATACTAGGTTTTTTTAAAAAAATGTATGTACAGTATCTATAAAAAGTCTGGGCTCTGAAGTCAGTAGTCACATGCTATGTTAGGTGTATAAGGTAAGTACTGACATGCCTCACAAAGTTGGGAACAGTTTCAGAATAATACTTCAAGTACTTTCTCTGCTCGGTTTTTCTAGTGATGTTAGAAGGACTAACCTCTGAACACCCTGCTGGAAGTGCAGGCTGCTATATTTTATCTGTCTTGGATAGGGAGAGGTTTAGTTATTAATAACTAGGAGTCTTCCAAGTGTCCTAGTTTTAAGGATCATCATATTTAGAGGGATAGATTGCTTTGATCTGGCCACGTGCCTTGAAGGTTTTCTTCACTGGAGGCAAAACAGAGAAAAAGAAAGCAGAAGTATTGATTTGCAAAATTCAAAGTAGACAACATAGATACAGAATTTCATGAAGAAAGGTGGAAAGAAAGGAAATTCAAATTGTTCATGTATTCTTAGAATAGTTCAAAATCTCTCTCTATTCTTAAGATCCAGAACACAGACTGTTAAAATATTCAGAATCCTGTGGCTGAGGACCCACTTCTGCCTGAAAGAGGATCTCGATTTGGAAACTCTGGTGATTTTGTTATGGAAAGTTTTGGGAGCTTTGTCATTTCTTTTTACATCACAGACTTCTTTAGAGATTGTTCATATGCCTTAATTTTGTGAAGGGAAATGGTGGATGAACCACGTAATTTGCTCTTGAGCCCAGACGTGCTCTGAAGAATGGTTGACCTTTCACTGCTGTCCTGCATTTTCAGCAGAGTGACAGAAAAAGCCTCTGCTTCAGCAGAAGCAGCAGAGACTGCCTCTTACCAGGACAGTTGGTAGGCAGATGAGGTGGGAGGTGTGGGATTGAATCCCCACAGACCAAAGCAGGGTCCTGGCTGAGTTCTTAAAGTACTGAACTGTTTGACAGCAGCATTTCTGTCACCTCCGTCTCCCCCTCTCTGGTAGCACTTTAAAAGGGCAAACTCTACTTGGTTTTCCTTTTTCAGGAGAGGGTGTCAGACTGAGTCCTTAATGGCACTGAGGTATCTTCTGCAGGGTGAATGGTGTACCCTTCTGCTGAGTATATTCATGTTGGCCTTGTAAGCAGTTTCTGACTGAGCTTGCAAGCTTTACTCCCTTGCCATAGAGTCCTGACACTGGGGTCTCATCATGTGCAATGTTAGAGCAATGAGAGACAGCAGCATAGGACTTGGAGAGCCTTAGCTTTACTCATCCCTAGCCATAAATGGTGATTTATAATTAAGTCTGGAATGATCAACAAGGATATTCACTTCCTGCCATGTCCTTTCATACCTGTAAGTCCCAAATCCCCACTAACCTAATTAGTTTCCTTTCACTGGCTCTATAACTAGCTGAAGATTTTGAGGAGGAAAAAAAAAAAAACAACAAAACTTTACGCTTCAGAAGTTTCCTGGAAAGAGAAAGGAGAGATCTTCAAACTCATCCTCAGAGTGCTCCGAGTTCAATCATAGAATTCCCCAGGCTGCATGCATTGGTATACACACACTTGAAGTGGTTGGTCTTCTGGCTCTCATCTTGGGAGGCAGCTGAGAAACATTTGTCTCTGCTCTGATTGGCCTGGTTTATTCCCCAGTTGGTTGCAACGATGTAGCCTTGCTGCTTTGGACCCTGCCCCCCATGTCCTTCAGTGTAAATCCTGTTGGCAAAAATTCCTTTGCCTCATCTAGGGAATCTAGAAGAGTTCATAAAATAGAAGGGAGTTTGTGTAGACCCAGCTTCACAACGCTGTGGTCTAAAGCTCTTTCTGGATCTAACTCTAATGCCTGAGGAATATGTATATAATAGAATCATATATATGTGTAAATATTTAAGTTGTACAAACTGATGCTTTCTTTTATCTCATTTATTTTTCCTATGTGTGGACTCTACATACATTAATAAGCTATTTAATGCACTACTACTTCAGCATTTAAAAATTAGTTCTTTTTGCATATTCTGAAATACATAAGTTTTTTGGAGATCGTTATTAATACAAAGAGAGAAAACATAGGTTATCTTGTTCTTCTAAACTGTTGAAAAATAGCCAACTTTTTTATCCACTAGGTGTTAAGAGTATACAAAGCTTCAGTACAACAGACACTGGATATACTCTTTCTCCATGAAGGAAAAGAATTTCTTACAAGCACAGATGCAGTGAGCCGGGACTCAGCTGATCGTACCATTATGGCATGGGACTTCCTAAGTGCTGCAAAAATCTCCAATCAGATTTTTCATGTAAGATTAACAATTAGTATTGTTTGATTCTTATTCTTAAAAAAATTACCTTGAAGACTGATAGGTCTCCTTGTGTTAAAAATATTTATGTTTCAGTGCTCATTCACTAACATTTAAGCTATATTTAGGCAAGGCCACTGCAGTGTCATTCTAGCTTGCCAGTGGTGCATGGCAATAGTTGCTATAGTGCCACATTTCTTTTCTCACACTTTTTCATCAGCTGCAATGAGGGCTATTGACAAATGAAGTTTAATATTTGCATAGTAATAGCAACCCGATATATGCATGTATATATCTAGTATGGCATAATCACAGAGGCAAAATTTCCTTTTATCAGTGCAGGAGCAGTATTTCTCTCAGTAATCTATCCAGGCAAGATATTTAATGGACTAAATTGTCTAGAAAGGCTGACAGCTTCAAAGGAGATTACCAAGGCAGTTAATAGGTAATTCCATCTCCCTGGGTCTTTTTTGAAAACCCAAGTCTAATATCCTATGTAATATAATATGATTGGATTGTATATAGGTGCCTTTTGGCTGAAATGAGCAGTTCTCTACTTACAAGGACATGTAGTTGATGATCTAATGGGATTGTCTCACATTTAATTTCCACAGTTATGTCTTTGTCCACTATTGGATCTATCAACATCTTCGATAGGCAAAAGGAAAAAAACAAAACCAACAAACCTGTGTATATTTAAAGTGCAGACCAGTCAGGTTCCATATCAAGTGGCAAAAAAAACCAACCAACCAACCAACCAACCAACAACAAAAAAAGGCAAAAAACCAAGCAACTTTATTATGTTTATCCGCTGCCAAACAAGCAAAACTCCACAGCCTACCCCCTCAAAAGTACAGCATCTCTAAAATGGACTTCCCCCCACCCCCTGTTTCTGCACTGTGAATATACAAAACTTGGTAGTGATTATGGGAGCGAACTCCCAAACTCTCAAAACAGTTTAGATCCCAACAGGACTTGATCTATTGCTAGTCTGCATTAACAAATGAGTAGTTAAGAGTTCTACAATAACCCAGTACCGCAGTATACCCAGCATAACAGCACAGTGCTCCTGCAAATTGCTTTGCGCTTTCTGATCCCTTACTGTTAGACTGCTAACCCTGTTTTAGTTCTGTGCCTAATACCTTACAATACGTAGAACTTCCTTCCCAGTTTATCACTTCCAAATCAAACAACAAAACCATTCTGATGTTCTTCCCACTCTACCACATAGCCCATGGTGTCCAGTGGTCACTGTCAGCCTCATGTCCTTCCCATGCAGATGCATCCTTCAGCCAAAGGTCTCTTATTTTTTACTCATGGCATCAAATTTCAGCACTATGTCTTTAGGTTGAAACTAGAAGAGATTTGGACCTGGTGGAATCTTTCTGAGAGCAGTTGCTTTCTGATGCAGTCACCATGAAAGTTTTGAAAGTGATCTTAATTCAATCATAAAGAGGAACACTAGGGTAAAGCCAAGTGTTATTAATTTTTAGAGATATTGATGAATTTACAACCAGAAGCAGTCTGCATGGCAAAGCACTGTCACAGGGAACTTCTGACTTAGTAGGCTAATAATGGTCCCTTTTTTTAAAAAAAAATTATATAAAAGTGTGATGAGGAAAGGGGTCTGTTTAAATGGGGTGATTAGTGTTCCTGTCAGTGTGGCCAGAACTGAGAGGATGGAGGGTTTGAGAACTGTATAATAGCATGGAAGGCATGGTATGACTATGGAGAAGGGGATATGGGAGAAGAGGATTCACTTTCATATTAAACCTCCAGTTTCCTTGGGCAGGAGGAGGACGATTGAGTACCATCAGGTTGGAATTCCCTTTCTGCAGCTGTTCTGAAGTATAATTACGGTTCAGAAGGAGGTGGAATTTTGGCTAGTATTTAGGAAATTGGGGTAGAGATTTATTTTACTATTTGTCTTAGTGTAAGACAATAATGTATGCTATGGAGATGACTTGTATGTACACCTTACTTTTTGTGGTCTTTCAAATGAAAGACCACATGTTATAAATCATGTTAAAAGATGACCTGAATCATTTGAACAAATCTTTTGTTTCATATAACAAAACTTTCTTTAAAATTCTTCTCAGGAGCGTTACACTTGCCCAAGTCTGACTCTGCACCCAAAAGAGTCCGTGTTTGTTGCCCAAACAAATGGGAACTACATGGCTTTGTTTTCTGCCCAGCGACCTTACCGAATCAACAAAAAGAAAAGATATGAAGGACATAAGGTATCTTTCTTCACTGGGAGCTTAGTATCCAAGTCTAGAAGGAAGATAGGTAGCAAAGTACCTGTACTTTGTCATGTGTCTGCTAGTAGTGTTTGATTGTAAATCAATGACGGATATTAATTAGCCTCATTTGCTTTCCCATGTGCCAGTCTATTTTGAATCATATGCACTCTGAAGAAAATAGTTATTGGAAGACTTTATGAATACTTAATAGCTTGATTAAATAAGTTTGTGTTATAGCTGTTTCTTAATAAACACCTGGAGAAGTCCCTAGTGTATATTTATTTAAAGGTACAATTTTTTTTTTTTGTATTATGTGTGCTTTCAGTGTATCACAATGAACTTTCCTAATCAGCATCAGGAGTTACACTGTTATTGATTTTCACAGGTGGAAGGATTTGCAGTGGGCTGTGAATTTTCTCCAGATGGAACACTTCTGGTGACAGGAAGTTCAGATGGCAAAGTGTTTTTCTACAACTATCATACTGCCAGGATTATTCGCACTTTGTCTCCGCATAAAGAAGCTTGTGTGAGTGCAATATTCCACCCAGTCTTACCATCGCACCTTGCAACATGTGACTGGGCTGGAGAAATCAAGATCTGGCAATAACAAGCAGAGTGACTTTTCAGTATGTCTCCTGTTAGTCTGTCTAAGACATAAGTAATAAACTATGGTATGCAATATGAAATTTGGCTGTGATATGTTATAAGCAGGAGACAATGGTGTCTTCTTGTCTGTGACCTCTGAATGTATGCTTTCATAATGGAGTTAAGATGGTCTTGTGTTTGGTTGCTGAGCAAAGAAGTGATCTTCCTCTTTCTCTTAGCCCTGGTAACAAATTTCTATCCCTTTTATGTCAGTCTTCTGGTGCTCATCTAGCCCCATCCTGGCCTGAGTAGCTAAACATAAGAAAATTACTGTTCTGTTTATGTACCTTTTCAATACAGCTTTCTTAAACCAGGTTTTATCATAGAATCATTTGGGTTAGAAAAGACCTTTAAGATCATCAAGATCAACTGTAAATGTAACAGCTGTCAAGTCTACCACTAAACCGTGTCCATAAGTGCCGTATTTACGTGTTTTTTAAGTCCCTCCAGGGATGGTGACTCAACCACTTCCCTGGGCAGCCTTTTTCAGTGCTTGATAACCCTTTCAGTGAAGAAATTTTTCATAATGTTCAATCAAAACCTTCCCTCGTGCAACTTGAGGCCATTTCCTCTTGTCCTCACCAAAAGTTGGTGAGTGCATATTATTTAACAGAGGATGATGTTCAGATCAAATAATGTCTATTTGATCTTCCTGAGATTCCCCTCACACACACCTTAAACTAGTTTTTACTAGTTTAGCTCCCTGAACTGGTCACTGAAGGGTTAGACAAGCAATAGTATAGTTCAAGGCAAAACAAAAGAAGGGGGAGGATTGCAGGGCAGGTGGGACTTCATCTTTTGGGAATGGGTAGCTGTTACCAGCTCAGCTTATTGTGAAATTCCTTCTGAGAGTTCCAGGGAAAGGTGTGCCAGATAACTTGAAGATAATTTTGAAGCCAGTAAGTAGGTGTTCTCAAAATACTGATGTTTAAACTTGAGTTTTAAACTTAATTTACAACTGTACATAAAGCAAAACTATATGTAAATATTTTTAATGAGAAAAATAAACATTTTTAAAATACCTGATGTCTGTATTTTATTGTATTACTCCTGTTATTCTTGAAAAGCTAGTAATCAAGGCTGTTGTGGAATTGATACTTGTGGGGTGAAACAACTAATGCACTCCCCTAATTTATTTGGAACACAAATGCATTTCTCCATAGTTCTCAGTGTCACTTAGACACAGAAAATTGTCATCGTGCTATTCAGTGCAAGGGGTGTTCCTTGACATTCAGACAGGAGCTGGGCTGTTCTGCAGAGAAGAAAATTCATTAGGCATCAACTGTGTATTTATACATGTATAGATTGCTTGGGAATGTATTTTAAATTTCCTGTCAGTCATTCCCTGCACTTGCATTGCTTGGTTATAGAAATTATTATCCATTTTATATGTGTATATATACACATATATGTATCACTGAAAAAAGTCTTTTTATCACATAAATAATATGTATTCCTAACCTTGACACCATAAATATACATCTGTATATATATGCACTACCTTGCAGTGAGTGCTATAAGCTTGGCTTGTGTTTTGTCTGATTAGTCTCTAGAGGTATTTTAATATACACAGAGCAATTGTGTTAATTGTCTCTGTCATGTAATCCAGAAGCCATGTATAATGGCAATGTTTCCTCTGTGGCATTTTTTTTTAATTATTTTTTTATTTTAATTTTAATTTTTTATTTTTATTTTGGCACAAATACAAGGTTTTTTTAAAATTCATTTTTCACATACTCAGTTAAAATAGCTTTTACAGAGAGAAGTTTTCAGAACATTATTGCAAATGGCAGATTTTAATTAAGTAATGAGCAAAATGTACTCTATTGGTTTGTTGCTTGTGTTACTTATTGCTTGTAGTAACAAATAAGTCTGTACCAATGCTGTCGATCCACAATTATATTGTTTGATGTCTGGATCAAGGCATAGTGGATGTGTTGTTTTAATCATATTATCAACAGTTATGACAGGTTTTAACATGGGGCAAGTTTTAAAGAACCATGCAATGCAGTGCAAGTAACTTCTTTTCCAGACTGTTCTTAATTTCTTGATTCCTTGTTTGGCAATTAGCTGTTTGATGGGAGCCTGAATTTTGCACTTCTCTTGATTGTGCCTCTAACACATAAGCCAACTGGACCCTGTAAACAACTGCTTCAGTGATTCGACGAGATACTCTGAGTTTAAGCTGTGGGATCTTCATAATTGTCAGAAGGAGTTGAGCTGGAAGTAAAGTAGGAGTTGCCTGTACTTGGGCAGGCTGAATCACAACGGCATGGCGTTTTCTAAGACGGTGGCCCTTAGTTCAAAGTGTGCTGTTGCCCCTTTAAAACTTCTGGCAGCCAGCTGTGTCCATGTGAAGAATGGGCAGCTCCGAAGCTGTGTGATGCGTCCCGTTATCTCCACAAAAGATTATCTGTTTGTTATTTTATTAGACACAGTGTTGAGAAAGGCCTCTGAAATACATGTAAGCTCGTGGTAGAAATGCTTATTGGATAAGGCCCCAGCTTATATGAAGACTGCTCTACAACTGGATGAGCTCTCAGTGCATTCAGCCTCAGCTGAAAGCATGTCTGGGTGGAGTGAAAGCTCCGAGAGAGCAATCTTTGGGAATCGTTGCACATATTGCACTGAAAAGTAACTGCATTGTGTAACACTACCCATGCTGTTGCTGAAGTTTAACTTAAGTCGTGAGATGTGATTCTGGTGTCTGGCATTTAGCCCTCCTGAAATTATCTTGCAAGTAAAAATTACAGACTATTGGTTGGAGGAAAACTTAAATTTGATTAAAGGTAATAGAGAAAAAATAAAAGAAACCTGGAACAGAAACTTGAAATCTTAATATTAAAATTAGAATTCCATTTTTGTCAGATTTCCAAGATGGCTGAAGTTTTAAATACTTATGAGATTCAGCCAAAGGTTTTATAATACAATGAAATTATGCTCACAGCATTATCTCCTGTTAAAATCTCTTTCTAATACAGAAGTGATTAAGACAGACTGAAATTTAATAATTGGAAATATTTTAGAATAGTGGCATCAATTAAGTTTTCATTATGATTCAAAGACAAATTCTTCCTTGTAATCTTATGTAATGAACTGTAATAAAAAAAATATCCACATTGCTCCATCATTCTGCAATTACAAAACACTGTTTTGGCTGAAAACAAGGATTATTATGGTCAGATGAAGATTTTAGAATGTAATGAATTGTTGGTTAATTGATTTTATTTGTAAAATTGTAATTTAGAGATTTTTGAATCTTGATTTAGGAGCAGTTCTTCTATCTTTATATAGAGCTCCTCAAGGCATTATATATTAGAGCCAAGGCAGAGATCTTCAAGATTTGGTAATGGTCTAGGCTGTGTAGATAAACAAGCCAGATTAATTTTACTCTGTTTTGTACTGTACCAAAAAGTAATAATGCCAATCTCTACCACTTTAATATTGGTTACTGGAGCATTATTAATTTGGGGTGTCAGAGGGATGCAAGCTATTCAACTGTCTTTATCTCAAAAACCCACTAATTAGCAGACAGTTATTAGAATCATTGTGTTCACTCAGCTGAAATACTGTTGGTGACTCACTATATTTCAACCATAGACCTGATCACAAAAATAAGGTATGGCATTACAACAGGATGACTGTAGGGGACATGCAAATGTAAAGCTACAAGACTATGCTAGAGACACATAAAACCAGAAGATAAAAAAAACATGAGATCTCAAATTTCCCATTATCCTGATAATGGTTTAGACTGCATTCAGCTATGAAGATATTTGCTTTGCTTTCTTTAGCTAACCTTCATTTTGTTCTCTTATTCTCAGCTCTTCCTAGACACTGCTCACATCCTCAAGAATTAATTTTCAGTTTTTCTGTTGTTGCTTCAGCACTTTGTCCTCTGCATTTAAATATATAGCAGTCGATATACTTACATGACATTCATCTTCTCTTCAATAAATTCCATTTTGCTGCGAGGACTTGTGGCCTTCAGGCTTTCATTCCAGCTGTCATTAGAAATGTAGCCAGAAATCCCAGAGCACTTTGCACTCTGTTCTTGCCTGCCTCTCTTTTCTGGTTTTAATGAGACTTTGTACTTCTGGAGATTCTCATCTTTTGTAGCCTCTGTTCTGTCTACTTTTCTTTCTGCCTTTGATTACTGCTTTACTGTCTCACAGATCCTTTCTGCATCTATAAGATGTATATACATCAATGTTTTAGTTCATCAGGAGTACGCTTTTTGGCAAAAAAATAATAATAACAAAAAATCTCCCTGTTATTGCCACTTACGGTGCTCTAGTTCATAGAGTACATAAACTGCACTTTTTTTCAAATGAACAGAAATGAGGAGAAGTGCTCAAAGACAATATTTAACATGTCCCAGCTGGTGGGACTAGATTGGTTGTCATTCAGAGTATCTCCAGCTCCCCCAAAATGTGCATGTTAAGTGCTGCATTTTTCAGAAGTGAGACAAACTCCTACAAACTTTCTCTTGTTGGGCCTTACTACTTGCTAAAGTAAACATAGTCTTGGGAGTTTCAAAGAGTCTTTGGCACTTTCCCCTGTCTTTGATAAATCTCTCACCTATCTCTTCATGACTCATCGCTCTGTACAGAGTGGTTATACATCTGATGTTTTCACACTTCAAAGAGCAGAAATAAAGGAAATTAAATTAATTTTCAAAGGGAAAAGAAATCAATTTTAGTAGCACTTGATCTCCAGTGGTAGTAAGAAAAGCTGGCCCCTACCAAGAGCTTGATGAATTCTACCCATGTTCAGATGACTTCCAAGTCGGGACAGAGCAGCCTACTTTATAATGGGAATGGTGTTCTCTAGATGGAAATAGGACTCCCTTCAGTGGCTTTGGGTGGAGGTTTAAAGGAATTAAGCTTACTCACCTCTCCCAGTTCTTGGATATCCTCCACGCAAGCTTATTTAGAAACATACCAGAAAGTACCAAGGTAT